TAAATACTTATCTATTTAAATGAAAAAATAAATACTTATCTATTTAAATGAAAAAATATGTAGTAGAAATGTGAAGAGAAAGATACTATTGAGGCGTTTGATCTTATTAAAAACCCACGATATTTTATTTTTAACAAAAGAAAATGCTTACGTAAAACTATTGAATCAAATTTTATATTTTACAAAAATTAGATAATAACAATATAAAAAATTTGGAGAGCATGGAATGAATGAAATAAAAACTGCAGTTGATACAATTTATTCAATTGGATATTGCCAAAAGTGGTTAAGTTTGTTAGTCGCACTTTCCTGAAGAAAAATCATTTAAAAAAATTAAATATCAAGAAAATATTATTTTGGAAATCAAAAAAAGAAGTTTTTGTAAGATTCAATGCGGACAATTATAGATAAAAAATTTCAGAGCAGAATAAACTTGATTATCTCAAAATCATCTTTTAATTATATCTTTTCATTCAGTTAATACGTAGGCGTAAATTAGAATGATCTTATTTTAATTGGTATTTATGGATTATTTTGGTAGGAGAATTAAATGTAATGATTATATAAATGGATTTCTTTTTTGAAGTAAAATCAAGTGTAAAATCTAGTTCAAGTCATTATGAGTGTTGACAAATAAGTATCATTATCATTATCGTTATAATTTATTGAAGCCTAGTATATATGTTTTCAATTACGTATTATATGTCGCTAAAATTAGCATAAGCTCAGTAATATGTATAGTAAATTCTTTTGAAGGTACTCATATTACGTACGTACGTACGTACGATAGATCAATGCTAAAAAAAAATATTAGAGTTAACAAATTAGAAGCTGTGTCACAGAGAATAAGCATAGCGTAGTAAAAAAAGTTCTCAGCTAATCAGATTTAAGATTTTGCTAACGGTTTATATATACGTTTCACTACGTTCTTGGCATGCCTAATAAAGAAATATTTTTAAGAATTCTTTTTGTACAATAATTACGTATTACTTACAACAATTACGTATTTACTCTCTACTTTTATGACAGTGAAACGCAAGTTAGAATTTTTTTTATATATTTGCACTTAGGTTTGACTGTATAATGTTTTATTATTAATTCATTCATGCAGAATATATTGACAAGAGAATGTATCGTAAGATTATTATAATATCCAATAAAAATCGAGATTTTATGTACGAGCACCTAAACCGAATTTAATAACACAGTTCGTTTCTACGTTCCTGGTACAAGTGGTATTATGTACGGTTAGTAAAATATTTGGGCTTGTTTGTTGAGAAAAGGGACCAAATTAACAAAAAAAAAAAGATTTGCGGAAAATTGATTTTTATATTATAAATTATAAGAAAATACAAACTTTAAAGAGTTATATTGCAAAATTTTATTAAGACAACAGTATTTGTTCCTTAAGTAAAAAATGTTTCTGGGCTAATTTTGGATTAGTTAAGCTCAAAAAAAGATTTTTGAAAAATTGTTAATTCGGTTTCTTTTTTTCAGCACCTAGCCTATATGTAATGGGAGTGCGAGGAAAGCAGGAAATCAAGGTTTGGAGTCTTATTATTTATTTATTATTGTAGGGATTTTTTTATTTATTACGTTGCCGTAGTGTTTCTTGCATCGTAATATGTTAAGTATAATTTTCAGGGGCACTTAATATAGTATTTCACTCTGATTTTTACAAATAATGCAAGGACACCGTGACAAGTCTGAACAGTAAAAGTCTTCCAGACAATATTAGAAATGATGTGGCGCAAATTATCTAAACGACTAAGTAGACATGATGAAATATGTATTACCACAATTTTTCTGGGGCTAAGTTTTCATTCTGCAAAATTCATATGCTGTAATCTTGTTTTATCGTTATTCAATATTAACATATTATATTTTTAATAAATTCGTTGAAAAAAAATTTTATAACTATAAAGCATTGGAGCCGATTTACTAACGGTTTTAACGTATTGAGTTTAGAACTGTCCTAGAATCAGGCCGGAAATATCGATAAAAATTAATGGTCAAATATACAATTATTATGCATTACAATAAATGGTTAGTAGAATTCATTTTGAAACTCGTTTTAAAAAAAAGTTTGATAAGTGTAAAGAGGGGAAAAATAACGATAGTTAGCCAATCATGATATTATACGTTAGAATCGTCAGCGTCTATCTCAATAGAATTTGTAAATGATTGAAAGGATCTTTATTTATTTGGCGGGGATGAAAACATGTATATTCTTTTATTATAATCTTAAATCCCACCATCAGCATCATCATTGATATTTATTAACCCGATTTGTAATACTATTTTGAGAGCTCTATAACCAAAAAGGAAGGTTAATAATTAAAATAGAGTAGATTTTCCGTCCAGAAAAACAATAGAAAACACAATTGAAAATTTATATTATATTTCTATTAATACGTAAGTGTTTACGTACTATCAGTATTATATCGGTATGTATATCTTTTTAATTCTTGAATTGAAATTACGTAATTCACTAATCCAAGTTCTGAATAACTTTTTGTGATGTTTCAGTTTATTTATATTCCCCATATGTTAATGTTTAATTACGATCATGGATTTTCTTACCTAATTTAAACTGAAAAATGTTCAAGATTTCTTATTCTGTTTCTATATTCCTTCTACGTACGTACTAAGTTTATTAGTAAATGATAAACCGATAAACGATTAGAGCATATTTCGTATAATAAAGTATCACACATATACAATTCTTTTGTTTCATCGTCTTGCTTGCGTCGCGACGGATTAAGACATGCAATCTGTTTATCAACGTTATTGCCTTCTGTATAGTTTTATAGTTCTCGCGTCTGTTTGTAATCTACACATTTGGTAATATTGTGATTACTAGAATATTCCATATTACCTTATGAGTAAAAAAGATCGTTAATCTTGCCTATTATTACTTTGTTATGATCACAAACTTAACTTTTAATCTAAAACTTTAACCTTAAGTCAAATATGATCGATTTTTTGTCTTTCTAGAAATGCAAGAAGTCCAACGTTTTTAGTGGCAACTTGCCATTTTTGATAACTTACCGGCAACTTACCGGAAAATTATACAAATTACCGTAATTTTACAACTTTGAAGAGGTCCCTGTTTTTTTTTAAATGGTCATTAGTGTCACGTGGAATAAGCAAGTGGGCGTACGTCTCAATGTTAATGTACGCACGTACGTGCGTGCGTACGTACACATACTCCTTTCTTGGTATTGAGACTATTGAGAAAGAGAGCATTTTAGTGCCGATATTGTGTGACTATTTAAAACTTGATAATCACTTATATCACTACTATATTATCACTGCAATTTTTGTGTTACTTACTAAATTTATTATTACTTCATAGTTTTTTTTTTTTTTTTATACATTTCTGTATTTACTATTTATCGTTATTGCACTCTGATCATATTCCTGGTCACGAGTTTATCAATCGGGTACTTTTGCACGTGTTACAATGTTACGCATAAATAGGTATTAAAAAACGCCTAAACATCAATATTTTTATCATCCCCTTTTTCTCATAATTGGTTTCCGTTTCAATAATTTCTTTTTATTATAAAAAAAAAAATTTTATCTTGGGTAAAAAGTAATTAACCGTGTAAATATATTGACATGGGTGACCCTGAAGATGAGGTAGTCGATATGGACTTGGACAGTGATTCCGAGACCAGTAAAACTTGTAAAAATCCTGAATTTGTTAAGGATCTTTGTACATCAAAGTCTATTCAACGCAATACTTTTATTCAGAAATCTCCTGAATTTATTAAACTTGAACAAATTCAATCCAAAACTTCTCCTAAAATGATCAACGCTGATCTTCCTGCCTTAAGCAAGTCCCTGCCACAAAAACCGTCTTTGTCACCTATTCATTCTACCTCAAGTCAACTTTGTCAAGTTTCGTCTTCAAATCAACCTATATGTCAAGATTCCTCGACAAATGGTCAAAATTTAAGGTTTTAATCATCCGTACTCCCTAAAATATTGGTTCATTTATATTCACGTGACTATTTCACTAACCTTTTATATTTTTATTCTCTTTTTTTTTTAAAAAAAAAAATTTTTTTTAGACCATCCCATTCCAAACTCATCTCCTTTCGTCTTTCTCCTAAACCTAATCCTTTCAAATATAAAATAAGAGCCAATTTTAACGTTAATCAGGATTCTCTAAATATTCAACCTCGATCCAATAATCCGTTGTCCGTTTTTGGTAACAACCGTTCCACAAACCTCAATGTCTCTCCGACATCTGAGGCTCATAAAGAAATTTGTCCTCCTTCGGTATCAGCTGACCTCGAAAAATCTGAATTGTCCTCTAAAGTAACTCCTTCGCTTGATCAAAATACTAATATAATGGATTTGGATTTCAAGCCTTCTATTACATCTCTATCAAATAATTGTGAAGAAAGGGAAATAATGCTTAATAATAATTCCATTAATTCCATCCCTATTTCTGCTGGTCCCTCCAAGATTTGTGAAAGTGACTTGAACCTTGTTGAAAATTTCAATAAAATAGATATAGATAATTCTTTAAATATTGTGGATTTTCATTCTCTACCCATCGTACCTAAAGTCGAAAATATGGATTTAGACCAATTTTCCACTGTTCCATCCACATTATCTAATACTAATTTAAAGCCACCTATTGATTCGGATTTAAATGGCAAAATTCCTGAAAGAAGTTTGGATTCAACAAATGATTCAAGAATTGATTCAAGAATTGATTCAAGGAATGATTCAAGAATTGATTCAAGAATTGATTCAAGAAATAACTCTAGAAATGATTCAAGAAATAATTCAAAAAATGATTCAAGAAATGATTTAAGAGATAATTCAAGAGATAATTCAAGAGATAATTCAAGAGATAATTCAAGAAATGATTCAAGAAATAATTCAAGAAATGATTCAAGAAATGATACAAGAAATGGAAAGGAAATTGCTACAACTTCTCAGGGTAATTCAAGAAATGGAAAGGAAATTGCTACAACTTCTCAGGTTAATTCAAGAAATGGAAAGGAAATTGCTACAACTTCCCAGGGTAATTCAAGAAATGGAAAGGAAATTGCTACAACTTCTCAGGGTAATTCTCAGGGTAATTCTCAAGGTGATTCTCAAGGTGATTCTCAAGGTGATTCTCAAGGCGATTTAAACCAAATAACCGATGAATCCGAATTGCCCAAGGATGTTCTTGACAGATACCAAGCTGTAAGTTTATCTCTTCCATTCTTTTGTTTTTTTCTTCTTCGATTGCCAAATAACTGACCTTGTGATTATATTAAAAAAAGCTTGATAATGCTTTATACGAATTTGATCGAGCTACTCAAAGAGCTTATGAAGCGTATCTTAATTTGGAAAGGGCTTTACCTCCCGGAACAATTATAAGCATAGACCCTCCTGCCTCTGAAAATAGAAAAATTATAAAAGCAATGATGGGAATGTCTTCTAAGAATAGATATAGGTTAAATGGAATTTCAAACTCGCAATCGAGTATGCAATTGAATTCGCAATCGAATATGCAATTGAATTCGCAATCGAATATGCAATTGAATTCGCAATCAAGTATGCAATTGAATTCGCAATCAAGTATGCAATTGAATTCGCAATCAAGTATGCAATTGAATTCGCAATCGAGTATGCAATCGAATACGCAATCGAATACACAGTTTAATAAATCAGGTAAGTGTAAACATCTTGTAACCATTTTCGTGAAAAGAAAAATTGTTGTAATTAGTTGATATTAAAGAATATAATTGTAAAAATTACAATGTTTCTGATGAAAAAGATTATAGGGACCCTAAAAACGCTTCGATTCATGCTAATAATAAGAATACCCGTGTAAACGAAAAAGCTATTAATCCGAATTTGGCGAATATAACGACTAACTCGAACTCGGTTATCTCAACCTCGGTTAATTCGAATTTGATGGATACGAATATGATGGATGTATCATCTGATGTCCCTCCTGATGATTATGATTCAAATACTGGATCAAAGAAACGAAGTTCCAGAAAGGTACATGAAACTCGAAGCCAGAAACCACCTAGTGCAAATCTGCGCAGTAAAACACTCACTTCTTTTGCCGATATCAACAAGTCGACATTACAGTCAGATCTAAACGTCGCTCGACGAAGGTCTTCAAAACAAAGCTTGCAAAGTCCGAAATCCGCCAGAACTACTAGAAGCTCGACAAAAGAAAAAGAAGTTGATTCCTCATACAAAATTAAATATTCTAGTCCAAGAGCTTATGCTAGAAAACAGAATAAAAGTATTCCCGAGAGTATTCTGAACCTTACTGATTTTACGAGCTTTCCTGAAGCCGATGAACCAAAAAAACCAACCACTGCTTTTGGAATTTATTGTTTGGAGCTTTCCACCGTTCACTTTTTCGGAAAGAGAATGTCAAATCAAGACTTTGTTGCTTTTGCTGCTGAATGTTGGATTAAACTGTCTGATGATAACAAAGAAGTAAGCTGTTCATAAATAGAGATGGGAACCGAAACCCGAAACTACAAGTTTAGGTTAGAGTTTAGAATAAAGTTTAGGATATAGTTTAGGGTTTATGTTTCTAACCTAAACTTGTAATTTCGGGTTTCGGTTCCCATCTCTATACATACAATTTATACCTTAAGCACTTATTATCGTTATAACTTATTTTTCTGACAATGGTATATTTTATAGGAATACGAGAGAAGACGACGTATTGTAGTTCAACAAATTAAACAAAAAATAACTCTGCAACAACGAGATCCACAGATTGAATCGTCAAGATCTGCAAGAAAGTTCAATTGATTTTTTTTTTTTTTTCTTGATTTGTTTTAATATTTCTCAATTCGTATTAGATAAAATTTTATTGATTGAAGCATTCTCTTTTTATTGTTTTTTTTTCTGTAAAATCAAGAAAAATGCTTTTTGTAAATAAACAAGGACAATAATTTACAGATCGTATTTCGTATTTACGTAGCATTAGGTTGTTTATAATGAATGTAATATGTAATTTAAATAATTCATATTTCTATTTATTCACAAATTCATACATCAGACTCTTGTAATTTGTAAAATTATGCTATATTGTTTAAAGTTAAACAATGCTAAAACGTGCAATTGGGAATTTTGTTTTTATGTCTAGAAAAGAAAGTAATTTTATTTTGTATCGATATATTGCAACTTGTAATTTGTATGACATGGTAGAAGTCCAATTACGTGTACTTTTTCATAATTGAATACTGAATAATCTTTTTAAACGCATATGTAATCAAAATATGCAATCGTAATAGAATTATGTTTGACTTTTTTTTACAGTATTATAATTTATTCTTTCATAATCATATATCTACTCATTTTTCTACTTAGCGTCTGGGTTTCTGCAATACCCGTCGCAGTATTGTAAATAATAAAATTTTAACAATTTTGGAATATCGATATGATTTTAAGTAATTTGTGATTATTAAGAAAACATACCTATGATATTTTACATAAAAAGATAATCATCCTGAAAGACAGTATTATTATTGGACATTTGGTATGATATATTTCTTTTTATATTAATATTCTGCTTAAGCAGATAAATAATTATTTGTTGGGTGATGAGCTGAAACTTTGACTTATTTTAATATGAAATTTTAAAATTTTGGGGGACGTTTTTTTTGTAGTTAGGTTGGGGTTTAGGGTTAGTGTTTATAATAAAAAAGTATAGACGGATTTTAGTACGTAGGGTTTATATTTTTAAATCAAGACCCCAAGTTTCAGCATCATCCCCGACAATATTTATTATTACGATTTGAACAATCAATTTGAAAAATAAATACAAGTTTTTTTAAATTGAGATTTTTTTTTATAAATTTATAAAAACAATTTTCTAAGTACTGTAGTAAATTAATTAATTCTTTTTTTTTTTAATGTTTTTAATTTAAATTATAATAATTGATAATAATTTAATAATAATTTAATTAAAATTGATAAAAATTTTATTAAAAAAAAAATTTACTTAATTACTATTAACTTATATTTTAAAATTATTGTGTAGCTATCTATATACAAGTGACTCTCGATATAAGAAACCTTCGATATAAGAAACTCTGGTATAAGAAAGATTTTTTAAATCCCAATTGGCCGGACCGGCAACTTTCTTATATCATGAGTCACTTGTAAATGTTTACTGTAGTGTACTGACCAAAGTACCCGGGATCCAATACAATCAGTGTTGGTTTGACCAGACCAGTTTGACCATTGGACCAAACCAATTTGACCAATTTGACTGGTCTGGTCAATGGATCTGTACTGGTCAAATTGGTCAAATAGAATATTTAAATATGATTTATTATACTGTATAATACAATATATATATTATATTTATATAATAGACTTGATCAATTGGACCAGTTTGACCAATTGACCAATTTGACCAGCAAATTTTTGGTCGACCACTAATTTGCCCAACACTGAATACAATCTAACTAAAAAAAACTTATAAAGTACTCAAGGGTGACGGGTATCGTGTATGAAGGTACTTTGTACGGTCTTATATATGTTAATGCAGAAAATAATATGTGGTAGTATGAAAAATACTGTGCAAAGTACCCGGAATTATCCTTGGTTTAAAAAAATATGCTATATAAAATACCCGGGTATTTTGAGTAGGTACGCAAAAAGAAGGGTATTTTGAGTGGGGTACGCAAAAAGAAGGGTATTTTGGTTAATGCACTACGGTACTTAATTTTAAAGTTCAATATTGTCTGGTTGCTTATAGTATATCTAGCCATAGCTTGTCATACTAATTTAATAGTAAAACTAGATGCTGTGTTGAACTAGCCCAAATAGTTATATCAAGAAATAGCTTATTATTTTTTTAATTAATTTATCTATTGTTGATTTTTATTTTTTAGGTTTATTTTTTTTTTTATATTTAGTAAATCTTGTCTTTTGTCAGTTTTACAGTATTAGGCTTTGTAACAGATTACTATTACAAAGTAGAACTAACAGGTAAGTGTAATAACATATTAACAAAAAGTATATATAGTTTTTCTATTAGAAATTCTTTTATATAACTGCCTATTTTAAAATTTTTTCTCAAAATTGAACTTTTAATTTATCAAGTAGTTTTAGTTAATCTAATCTAATTTTAGTTCTAAACTATAATTTAAGATTAAAATAACAAAAAAAATTATAGCTTGTAAAAGATATAAAAATTATATATTATAATTATAAATTTGATTTTTTATATAATTTTTTTAATATTTATAGTAACCTTATGCTCAGCAGCTTTTATTGGCATATATTTGCTAAATTTTATTACAAAATCACTACTTATCTTTGGTACATGATTTTAAGAAGCAAATACTAGCTATATATACAACTTTTGGTTATCTATTTAAATAGTTTGCTCAAAGATTCTATATTAGATACTATATCTATAATTTGACTAGATAATTACCTATTTAAATCTTTTATACTATCTTGTTCTATATGAGATACCTAATTTATATAAGATTGCAAACTAATTTAAGTTTATAATCCTCAAAATAAGCTATCAAAGCTATCTTCTACTTATTCTTAAACTAGCCTAACTTTGGGTAACTTGTACTTTGATTGCAGCTATTACTATACAAACAGTTTATCTCTAAATTGCTATTATTATCTTGTTTTATAAAGTTTACCTAAACTTTAGTATATACTTTACAGTTATTTTAAGTACTTTAAACTTCTTACAAGTTTTTTAAATTTTTAATTCAGATAGCTAAAAGAAACACTAGTTTCTATAGTATTTTAAAGTTTTTTCTTTAGTTAATATTTTGGTAATCTAGTTAATAGAATGTTTTTATTGAATATACAGTTTTTGTTTAGTTTACTTATTTTAAAATCTATTTTTTGATTCTCATCTTTATATAGTATTATTAAAAATTTGTGCTATCTCTTTATTTAGATTTTGTTTAAATAGATTTCTACTTTTCTTAATTCTTTAAATTTATATAGCTATTCTGTTTAGTTTTATACAACTTATATATTCTATGCATATTAGTTTTCTGTACCAGGTTTGCTAATTATTGTAGTGCAAATCTTATGATCTGCAAATTAGATTTCAAGAATCAGATGTAATGTAATATGATTAAAAAATTTTAAAACAACCATTCATTTTATTAAAATTACTTATTTCTTAAAAACCTATATAAAAAACTATCTTTGATGTTTTAACAAAAATATTTCTTGAGTGATTTTACTATATTACTATCTAACTTCTAACCTTCTTCTAAATGCCAACCCTAATATTAATAAACTTTAAAAGATTTTGTCTACACTATATGATCAACAAAACCTGATACAGAAACTGATATACATATTCTATAAATATATTTTAATCATTTAATTCAAGTTAATATAATCAAAATTACAAGTATTTTTTGGTTTAAGCTACAGATAAATTAGTTTGAGTTTCTTTTTTTGTTATTTTAGAATATAAAATTTAAATAGATTTTTTTCCTTATAAGAGTATTTTTTCACTATAAAAGAATTAAATTTTAATAAAGTCAAAAAC